TGTATTAACTTTAAAGGCTGAAGACAGTGGAGGCACTCAATTTGGCCTTTAAAACTGTGTTGTAGCACTGAAAAGGTCTCTAACTGTAAATGCCAAGCGGTGTCATATTCATAGACCTCATTCATTGGTTCTAAAGGATCACACCCCCTTTCCTGTTCACAGCCCACCACTGATGGGTGCCGCCTCTTCTGTCTTCACATCAAATCTGCTTTTCTCACCAAAGCAGTTTTTAAATCTCTAATAGCCTTTGTATTGGGTCAGTGTGCGTTCACCATGATAAGAAGAGAACACTTTCAAAAGCGTGCATTAACAAATTGATGCAAAGGCACGCCTGGGTGACACCAAACCAAAGGCTTCTCTGGATGCAGCCACCAGTTTGCAGGCACATGTTAGAACATGCTGTGGGTTCTTTAAAACATGGCTACTTTGAGGGTTTGCCTCTGTGCAACTGTAGCTCAGTGACTTCATTAGAATTCAAGCGCATCCAGACGTACTAATGTAAGACTTTAATCATTAAGGCCATCCAGCTACTGCTTCTGTGTGCATTCGTGTGCAAGTGTATGCTGCTTGGAATAGCCAAGCCATGTGATTCCTCCAGATTCTATTTCAGATAGGCGAGGCCTCGTTGAACGCTCTGCACTCTTCACAGCAGCTTGAAAGATACGTAGTACAGTACAGTTTAATCCCCGTATCTGTCCTCATTCTGTAGAGACCAAACCAACAGGTGAAGCGTATCCGTAGGCCACGTGGAAACAAGTCATTTCCATTTCGACATTGATCTGCAGCTCTGACATTTCACACAACATTAACAAAGTTTATATCAAGATGCCTCATGTTTCTGTAAGTTCTTTTGTATAACCTGTGTTCACAGGCCACTGATCTCATATAGGCTTCTTTCTTTTGCGCTTACGTGCATGTTCACGTGAGTCTTCGTGCCTCTAAGTGCTTCATGATTATCGTTGGCAATTCAAATGGTATTTTCCCTCTAAGCTTTTATTTAAGAACTTCCTGGATTTTACAAAAATGTGGCACACGTGACGTTGTGATAATCAGCTACTTCTTTATCTGGGTGGAATAATAGTAAGAATGGGCTCAGCGGTCTTACTGCAGCTGCTTCAGTCCAGTTTTTTAATGGATTATTTAATGCTCCTAATGATGGGCGGTAGCACAATGGTAAATAGTAAGGGAGCTCAACATGTAAGTGGATTTCCTCTTTTCAGTAGTTTTGTCCCTACCAAGTAAATCATTTCAGTTGGATTCAGTTGTTAAAACATCTGTAAACATTGTATTTTCTCCAAAAGAGATGGATGGATGATATCGAAGCTCTGGACTTGGTATCAAATGAAGAATATCATGTGTATGATGACATCTGATGCTTCAAAAGACACTGGTTATTCAGAAGGCCTTCAGTCAGTTTAATAGTTGCAGACGTTTTTTTATATTTAAGTGTTAGAAAACATCTCCACATGGCTTCGTTGCTTCTTGTTCTTGTAGGAGCAAACCGCCTGATAAAATAAGCTTCATTATCGGTTTAATTTTTTTTTAGATGATTTAAAAAATATCTTTTTTTATTCAACAAATTTCAAGGTGACTTCGTGAAATGTCTTCTTTTGCACAGACATTAGTCCAAACACCAAAGACATAACAATTATAGATTCAATATTTATTATCATTTATGTTAAAGAGCCTCAAATATTATCAGTTAAGAAGCTTGAAACAGGAATTATTATTTGCATAATAATTGTGACTAAATCACCCGTATGTCCAATTTGGATTATAAATTTAGTTTTTTGTTGTATTTATTGATTTTATTTTAATCTTCTTTTTCTATTCGTTTTTTCCTGAAGTAAAGAGGCCATCTCAGGAGGTGAGGGGAAGTGAAATGCTATAAACGTTCCTGATGGCTTTTAGGAAAACTGAAACAGGAGATTTTTCCCTCTACAAATGTAAGCTTTTTTATATGAGTATATGTATAACTCCCTTTTCTTATTTGGCCTAATAGTCTGGATCTAGTTTGTAAAGTTGCACTGTATTTGAACCCAGTTGTTTTTTTTGCAAAGGAATAAAAGGCAGTCACCTCAGCTTACCCTTATGTGGAAGTTTCCACAGGGTATGACACAACTGTTGCACTGTCCACACAACCTTTTATAGATTTGTGTCCTCATGTCCATGAGCTCTGGATAATAGCCATTACCTAGAAATGGGTCATGGAGTTATTCTCCTTCATGACAGTCCCTCAAGTCCCAGTGTTTCTTCCATGGAACATACCACAGCACTTCTACCAGACATTTACCTACTTGTTTACGCACACACTACCCTCCCCACTCTTTTCCAGCTGCTCTCCATGTTTTTTTTCTCCCTTCCAATTATCAAGTATTACCTCTCAGTTTATTTGAGCCCAGCACTGAGGAATATGTAGTGATACTGACCCAGAGAAGCGTCTCAGCAGACAGTTATGGAGTCCTACAGCTGCATTGAGCCTCCAGAGACAGTTGCTCATATCTTGTGAGTCTGTGTGTAGTAGTGTCAGATAGAAGGAGAGATATCGTAGGTCCTTCCTTCCTGCTGCTGTCAGACTATTTAACAACCAGGTCTGACCCCCCCCAGTAGACCACACACACACACGCAATGTGCAATTAACCACTGCAATAACCACAGTACAATTTAAAAATTTTGCTATTTGCCCATGTACAACTGCTGCTATATATACTACCTGATGTTGTGTGTTTCTGTTTGCTTGTTTGTTTGTCCTCTCTTTGGAGTTAAATCTTGTGCTACTGCTGTAACATGTGAATTTGCCCACTGAGGGACAATAAAGGAAATCTAAATCTAAATCTAAATCTAAATCTAAATACGCCTCCATAAATAAACATGTTGTGTGAGTTGCATCTTGGGAAATGTAGGATCCAGCAGTTTTGGAGCTTGACACATACAAGGGACTAAAAGTCAGATAGTCTCAGCATCTGTTTTTATTCATTTGACTATTCTTTATTAGAATTTGAGAAAAAGAGCGAGTGCTCTTTACATTTCAGATTCTTCTTCCACCAAGTTTCTTCCATGAGGTTTTTTTTATCTGCTTATGCTTTGAAATACTGATTCCAACGCAGATATAGTATTTGTCTTGGTACGTTTTGTTTCTTCTGCTATGTGCAGCAGCAACTCAATATAATGAGCCTCCACGGTGTCATTGGAGAAAGTGTTTTTGTGTCATGAGTTATGATTCCCTTTGTGTTGAAACGATCTGTTCACAGCTCTGCCTCTTCTCCCGTGAGTTTTGTTGCATCGCATATTATGTGTCAGAAACATACCCAGCAATGAGATGGATTATCCCTATAGGTCCTCAGTTTTTTGGCTCACGGTCACACATTGTGGATTTGGGTTGTATTATGCAACACTCAAGGAAACCGTGTTCTGCCTACAAGTTTGTCATGCTCGGGTGAACGCCTTTACCTGTTCTTCAACGTTTGGTGTTTTATGGGATTGCAAGTGTCGCTTTTACAGAAATGCATGGCATGCTGCTGTACCAGTGGCTCAAACAGGATTCTATCAGTTACAGACTTAAGCTCTTCTTTTAACTGAGAGTGTGGAAACTTGTTTATATACTGTCCCTCTGTCCTTCGCCTCCCATTAGGGTACGTGACCTCTCCAACGCTCCCCTGTGACCTCTGAATCCCAGCCAACCTTCTACCACTCCCCCATAGGCCGGACTGTCATCCATGGCGCTGGAGAAGCTCCTGCATTTCGGGAAGCAGTTGCTGCGGGTGAAGGTGGTGAACTGTAACACAGAGGACTCCCGCCTGTCGCGATGTCTTAACACTTTTGACCTGGTGGCACTGGGTGTGGGCAGCACGCTGGGCGCCGGCGTCTATGTGCTAGCCGGGGCTGTTGCACGAGAGAATTCAGGTAAGTTAACATCACGGTAAACTAGTAAAAGGTGTCCTCTGAGGAAGATCTTCTAATCCTGTGATCCCCCCTTGAATCCCAGGTCCTGCTATTGTGCTGTCTTTCCTGATAGCAGCCTTGGCCTCAGTGTTGGCCGGTCTATGCTATGCTGAGTTTGGAGCCCGTGTTCCAAAGACAGGTTCAGCTTATCTGTACTCCTATGTGACAGTAGGGGAGCTCTGGGCGTTCATCACGGGATGGAACCTCATCCTCTCCTATATCATCGGTAAACAACACAGCATTTCCTTCTATTTTGTCTCCTTTTTGTCACTTTGTAATAAGAGGTGATTACCTAAATTGGATTTATTGGGGATTTGAAGAACACCAGGTGCTGTAGCTCAGCGACAAATCGAGAAAAGACACTTTCCTAATCTCTCCATCCCAGGTACCTCCAGTGTGGCCCGTGCATGGAGCGCCACCTTCGACGAGTTGGTAGGGAAGCGCATAGAGCAGTTCTGCAGAGAATACATGTCTATGAAGGCTCCGGGTATATTGGCAGAATACCCCGACATGTTTGCTGTTGTCATCATAATCACCCTCACAGGTTGGGAAACCCCTCTTTCTGTATGTCTTTCTCTCGTGTCGTCACTTATGTTTTACACTGAGCCAGTGTCTATGATTTTTTTTTTAAATCAGGGGCAATAAAGGGGCCACAATTTACACACAGGGGCCAATTATATGTCTACTATCTGTGCATAATTCCTGATTTAGTAAAGTGCACATGTAAGTCATTCCTTGTTTATAGCTCTATAGCCTTCGGCAAAGACACAGAATATGATTTTAAAATAGTTTCTTGCTCAAGCACATTAAATAAAAATATTTGACAAATAAACATATTTATTGTTAGCAAGTGACCACTTTATTCAGGTGGGGGCCCTTCTGGGGCATATCAGATTCCAGCTGGGGTCAGTGCCCCCCTGGTCCCACCCCTGGATCTGCCCCTGCATTGAGCATCTTTCATATTTACTTATAAGAAGTGCGTCATCATTGAACACTTGACATCTACTGCTGATATTCATAGAAAAACAAATCTTAAAAAGTTCTTATTCCGTCCTATGTCTTCTCGGTTTCCAAGGTCTTCTGGCATTTGGGGTAAAAGAGTCAGCGATGGTGAACAAAGTTTTTACATGTATCAACGTCCTGGTCCTGTTGTTCATGGTGATCTCTGGGCTGGTCAAGGGTACTATGAAGAATTGGCAGCTCGACCCTGATGAGATCCTTCATGCCAATTCCACCAACTCCAGTCTCAAGTAAGAAAATAGATATGTTTCACATATTGAAGATGTTCTGAGAAACATTCCGTGTCATAATGTAAATCACATTTTTCACTATTAAAGGTCTCATTCACATTCTCCAAAGTTTGTAATTTTGGTGAACTGAACCTTTAAAAGAATACTTTTAAGGTGGTATTTTGCTGGTTTTATTTATTCTGTACTCTTCCTATCAAGTCTGACAGTTGTCCTGCCAACCAAAGAGAGTTTAGGAGTGGGCGGCTTCATGCCATTCGGTTTCACAGGCGTCCTCTCAGGAGCTGCTACCTGTTTCTACGCCTTTGTCGGATTCGACTGCATCGCCACCACAGGTCAGTGCAGCATGAAACCACGAGAAAAAACACACACTCAATTTTGTTGGCCCTGTTCTCTTCTTGTTCCACTTCTCAAATCCTTTCCACTGCCTCATGGGTATGTTTCACTTCTGGGGGGGGGGGGTGTAACTGGATCTGAGTTGGGACCATTTCAATCCTCAACTTGTCTAAACATCCAGGGGATTGCATAAGAGGGTGTAAAAGAAAAGATGCAGTTTAGTGAGTTGGGTCCTGCACCGTGACGGAGCTTAGCGACATAAATCAAGATATGAGTTTTGGGGCGAGGACGTTGCTCAAGTGTGTTTTCTGTGCAGATCCACACCGGTGTGTCTTAATGTGTGTAGTTCTTAAACGCTTCAAGGCCCCCGAGTTGTAAAAAAGGGAGTTTCTTTCAGCTTGTCCTCTCTCCAGGCCCTGACTTTACCCACCCCTCTTTTTCCTCAATTCTAATTGGCTGGTGTGAAGTTAACCCTGAATACTGGAGTGTAGCTTATGGGCATGTCAGTCACACTCAGGCACCTTTATGCCATTTGTGTGTGTGTGTGTGTGTGTGTG